TTTCTTGTTATAATTTACTTTGTGAGAATATACGTAGAACATGCCTTCATTTAGCAGTTTCTTTATGTCCTCCTTTTCTGGGTTGCCCCTCGCATCAGCCCTGAATGTAACACCTGCTTTGTGTGAGTTGCTGGTATCAACATTGTGATCCCATGCAGCTAGACCTTCAGAGAGCTTGAAGCAGGCAGTCTTTACTAGTGAAGTTAAACTGCTCCTTCAGTCAGTCTTGATGGGACACCAATAGGTGCCGGACTCAATGTTCACTCATGAGATGGAATCGAATTCGTTATTCAGATTTTAGGAATTCCAATCAAATAGAATAAACTACATGTTTAAGTCTGAATTGTGTCGAGGACCAATGTAAGTTGTTTCCTTGAGTAAATCAATGAAATAACCATTGTTCTCCAAAAATATGGGATCTTGCACTGTAGCTGTTTGAGACAAATGGGAATATACAACGTGTTGGCTATACAGAGTATTCATAAGTAATGTCTTATACAGTTTATTTCAATTATGTATTTCTAGTTTATAGCAAACTATGTGTTTCTTATTTTTTACCAGTTCAGCTTTTTACAGGTGTATAAATTATTGACAGCAATTACAGTGATCGGCTGTGTGTCCCTACCCTTAATCAATGCAGTGCTTCATCCCTGTCTACCAGCCTTCTTCTCCGTCATGCCTCTGATCACTAAGAAACTGTGGTCTCTGTCTACTTGCCTTTTTAAAAATCTGTTTACAAAAATGAAGTCATAGAATATTGTACTGACTATTAGTGACATTTCTGGTAGAGACTTTCAATGAACTGAGGTTTTAAATTTCTATGAGGTCACGTGTATTTATTTTGTTGATATTTATACTTTTGTCAGTGTGTTAGACGATCCAGTGTTAAAAACTAGGATGGACAGTGTTGCTCCTAAATTTTCTTCTAAAACATTTTGTGATTCTACTTCGCAAATGTAAGTCATTAGTGCATTTTGAATTTTCTCTTGGTGTGAGGTATAAATCTAAGCAATATTTCTTTTAAGACGCTCTTCAAATGGAAGGTCAAACATTAGTTGACTATAGATGCAGATAATTTTAATTAGTGAAAAAAGATTAAAAATGCATATGGTTCATTTAAAGGTAAATTTGCTAAATGTTACAAGTATGTTAGCCAAGTCTGTCTTTCTATTAAATGTCAAACGCATCAGAAATAATAGCTCGCACAATTGTGTCAAGAAAGCCTTTTTCATTCTGTTTCTAAAGCAGGACATATATTCATAGTTCACCAATTTTTAGCATCAAGAACAAGGAATACTATTTGTATTCGCTAATTATGGTCAGATTGAATTGAAGCAAAGCTGTACAGAAGTCGGCAGGCTTTCCTTTAGTCCCAGGCCCCTTTACTCTTTCTCTGCTCTTCTGGGATGGTGCTCTTGTGTGCATCAATCCCATTTCATACTGCCCCTATGTGACTGAGAGAACAGCCCCAAGGATTGACTGGGCTCTCGTCTTCATGGGGCAGAGCACCCGATCTGTGTCCCACAGAGCTGCTAGTAGGTTTGAACCTCTCACCTTTGAGTTAGCAATGGCACAGTTAACCACTGTGTAACCAGGACACAGCTTTTTTTTTTTTTTTTTT